TATTTACCTCAACTGTTAGGGCCTCCGGGGGAGTTGGCACTAAGTTGCTGGCACGGCGTCGTACACCCAAGCAACCGCGTCAGCTGTTTACCGGCCGTGCTGTCTTTCTGCTTAAAGCTCCCGACTTCGATAAAGTCGCTGCGTTAGTATCCGACCCGCCTCCTCAGCGTGAAAGCCAATACCTGGGCTCGGGGAGGATAGTGGTAAAGGCGGGGCCGTTAGTGGTAACAACGGCAGTACGTTGGAGATGGAAGTTCCCGGGTTAAAATTTTCTCGGTTCCTACTCCTGGATCGGGGGAGACAAGTGAGAAAGAGGTAAAGGCGACTGTAAATGATCAAAGTTCCCACATAAAGGAGATCGTTCAGCCCAATAAGGTTGAAGACCCACTGTATGATGGGGATGAGAATGGTCAAGTCAATGAGACTAAACCCGTTCTAGTAAACCATACCATAAAGGGGATAGTGAAACAGGCGAGTTGGGATGGATTGTTCCTCCTCCCTTGCAATTCCTCGCTCTGTGCCCTAATGAAAAGTCTCTTGACAGCACTACTTCATATCGTTTATATGCGACCAAGTGGCCTGTAGAGGTCAATCTAGAAGAAGCAACCCAAGAGGAGTTAGAACTCCATGGTTCCGGTGAGGGACAACTTGGTGGACCTGAAAAGACACAGATTGATGAGCTGGTCCGAGTTCTGATAAGCTGTGAAGAACAGGCCTTTGAGTTACAAGGACACTTTGGTGTGTCTGGGGAGGAACGCCGGTGAGAAGCATGGCTGTCATCAACCCTCTGAAAGAGATCAGTGCTTCAAACATCCCTCATAATACGACTTTCTTAGGAGAATGGGAACCTGAACCAGAAGTGACCAGTGATGGTCCAAAGATAGCTAGTGTTGAGGTGGGAGAGGAAAATCCCAATGTTCCCCTTCAAACCCGCACTATTCCGTTGGAGGAAGTAAAAACCAACATCGAAAAGTGGAGACCCTCTACAGAGGCAGAGTATGAGTCTCTAGTTTGTAACACAAAAGCCGTTGAACCTCTTAGTGATGAAGGCTTCCAGGAGCTCTGTGATACTCATGTGGTAGAGCTTATTCCTGGTAAGTCAGTTCACACCATCAAAGCATATACTGGTTGAGTAAAGACCAGAGGGGTAGGATGCGGCAACTACCTACATGGGGAAAAGAGAACTCAGTTAGATACGTTCTCAGGCGGGATAGACGCACACAGTTTACGTTTGATGTTGCGCAACGCAGCGCTTCGCCAGTGGAGAGTTGGTACTCTCGATGTCACCACTGCGATTTTGAACACAGACATTGTCACTCCGAACAAGGAAGTCATTGTAGTTAAGGTTCCTTCAGTATTTAGGATGATAGGTATTAAAGAAAAGTACTGGCGACTATACAAAGCTCTATATGGGCTGGATGTGTCTCCAAGATCTCGGAGTCTTAGTAGAAAGAAGACTCTGCGCCAAGTTGAACAATTGGTGCCTTTAGTACCTAGATCGCCAGATCCAGAGCCTCCAGTGCAAAAGGCCAACAATGTTACAAGGCTCAGGTAAATGATGCCTACCTCAGTACTGAAGAACCAGTTACTAAAGTATCGCAACACATATCTCCAACAGAGTTTGCTGCCTACCTTAACAAGCTGGAACGACTCGAAGGCGGAATTCCTGCTAAGTTTCTCCAAATGGTGAACGTTTGGAAAGTGATCCTTCAAGATTCTGAAGAAACAGTAATAGGGGCCATTGGCAAATATATCGATGACATTTTGATACTTGGGCATGAGCAGTATGCAGAGCTTATTGCCAGCACACTAAGTCAACAGTGGAAAACCACTAAGCCACAGTGGTTAGACCAAGAAGGTCTAGCCTTTCATGGGTTTGAGATAAGGCATGAGGGTACCTCGATCATCCTTGGCAAGCTGCAGTGGCTAGTAGGTCGTACTAGACCAGACTAGCAATACGCCACCATGGTTATAAGCCAGCTGCTGACTACTAACTATTATGACCCTCTGGAGGCATGTAGAAGAGCCGAAGTAGCTATTAGGTATCTTCGATGGTCCTCGAAACTGGGCTTAAAATATGACCTGGCTCCGAATAACTTCAGCAAGTGGGAGGAACGGGATAATTCCATGTTAGAGTCAGTAAGCGACGCGTCGTTTGCTCGTACTTGCGGTAGGAGTATAGGTGCAACTCCAATCTTTTGGGCCGGCAGTCTAGTGTCCTGGTGTGGAGGGCGTCAGCCATTTGCTGCAGCTGGCACGGCTGAAGCAAAGTTATTTTCTCTCACCGAAGCGCTTGTGCTAGCTAGGGCTATGGAACCTTTATTTGCTGCCTTTCATAAGTTTAAAGAGGTGAAAGGAACTCTTCTAAAAGGGCTATACACCGACAACACAGCTACCCTCCAGTTATGTCAGCTGGAGTCGGGCTCTTGGCATACTAGGCATATACGCCTTCGTGCAACAATAGTAAGAGAAGCCCTTGAAAATGATGAGTGGCGAGCAGCTCACTTGCCAGGGTTATTCACCTCAGCAGATGTAACTACTAAGGCAGTAGGACCGCAAAGGTTAGCAGACCTTATGCGAGTAATGGACCTATATGCACCCCACATGGAGGTTTGTGAGGATCCTCCAAAACCTTCCGTGGCGGCAGTCAAAACGTCGTCTGTGGCTACCCTGGTCCTAATTGCCTTGCTACTTCTTACTCGAGTTTGTCCGGTCAGGGCAACTCCGAATTCTAAAACCTACGCTTGGCAGCTTGAGCTTAGTACCTTGGGCTCAATTAGCCTAATAGTAAACCTTATATGCTTACCTACATGGGCGTGTTTCTGGTTTACTAGCCTGCGGAAAAGTTGGGTGAGAGACGATCAAACTGCAATTCAGCCTACACTGGTCATCAAGCTTCAGCTGACACTGGCGGTATCATGCTTATGCAATCAATGCCGGGCCAGTAAGCCAAAAGCAGATCCAGAGTATACTAGCAATTATGACATCTGGTATCTTCTTGGATGCGCTGTTACCCTTATCCTAGCATGGGAGGGCCTAAAGACGTTTATGTTCAAAGGTCCTAATCCTTCACTGACCACGCCTAAGGCAGACGTGAGCATCCAAACCAGAAAGCGGCAGGTGTCAGTTGGTTCCCAAACAGCAGAAGTTTCAGATCCTCAAATTGAGGAGCTTCTTGAAACTCGTCAAAAGCAAGCCCAAACTATTCGTACCCTCCAAGGCATTCTTGGAAAGAACAACCATGACCTTCAGGCCGTAAGGAATTGGAGACGGAACGCTAATGCAGTCGATAATATTTGTTTATGTCCTGGCGGGACAGTATGGCATGCCAGTGAGGTATGCGCTAGACAGCGAACCTCCAGTGGATTAATTCTCCGGCAGCCATGCGAACATTGCGGAAAAGAGCCAATTCCTATGCCTCAAATTTTAGGGGATATTCTATATCCTGATGCCTCAGCAACTCAAGGCTAGTAGTGTAAGTAATAGTCCGGACCCCACCTGAATAGTATTGGGTTGGGTACGTGACGTAGTACAGTCGTGCGTCCACTCTGCAGCCAAATCTCAAGTCGCAGAGCAGGTAGCTTGTAAGCCTCCAACTCTAGACAGTGATAGGATAGTGAGATTGTACAGTGAGCTAAGTACTAGTGCACAGCTTTAAAATTCACAGGGGACTTACACTCGTTTGTGCGTGAGCGTTGTAATAAAAAGAGTGCCTCCGCTCGCTTCATGTCCCTTCCTGCTTCAGGCAAAAATGATAGAAAATTACCAAAAAAAACAAAGATTAGGAAAAATGTGAAAAATTAAGAACCATGATGAAAATTATGGACATTCATGAGAATAATTGAAAATTGTGAAAAATACGAAGAAATGAAAATACTGAAAATGCTAGGACAATGATAGAAAAATATGAAACAAATATGGAAAATAATGAAAATTGTGAAAATG